ACATTAACTATTGAAAACCAGTAAACTGCAGTTAAAAAAAGTAAATAGTACGATATAGTACAATTTGTATAAAGTTTTTTGAAAAAGTAAACTTTCTGGAAACAGTTAATAGCGAGTTAACTTTTTTTTAAAAAAGATTTTATTCATCCATTTTTAGGGAGGGAAAGGAGGGGGGGAGAGAGAGAGAGAGAGAGGGAGAGAGAGGGGGAGAGAGAGAGAGACAGACAGACAGACAGACACATCAATGTGAGGTTGCTGGGGGTTATGGCCTGCAACCCAGGAATGTACCCTGGCTGGGAATCGAACCTGGGACACTTTAGTTCCCAGCCCGCGCTCAATCCAGTGAGTTACCTTTTAAAGGAAGAAAGGTAGCTTTTGTTTTTACTTTTCTGGAGCATTAGAATTTTTTTTTCATATTATAACTTAAAATACACAATTCTTCAATGCACTCGATTCCCCCGAACCTTCACCGCCAATTATCCAACCCCCATGCCTACCCGGTATCGAAGGTGAACTGAAAGGCCGTGACAGAATTTCAGGGGTATATTTTTGGATATATATCTCGGGCTTTCTTGAAAATCTCGCCACTTCTCTAAATCCCCCCCCCCCCCCCACACACACGAAAGAAGAGGAAAAGAATCCCTGCACTGCCAGGGAGCCATGACCGGGTCCTTCCAGGCCCTAACCGCTCCCTCCAGGAGAGAATGGTTGTGGTCATGATATCCCCCTCCCCCCCCTTCCCCCCATCAGTGTTGTATCTAGTCCCGGCCAACCTCCCTCTCCCACACTAAGGAAACAACGCAGCCCCCACACCATCCCTCACAGCAGGGACCCTACTCTGGTTTCCCTCGGCTCTCACCCCCTTGGTGCTCTCACCCCCTTGGTGCGGGCGTCAGCCGCGCTCCTCACTTCTCTAGGCAGCCTCTCAGCCTGGGTGCTGTGTGTGTGTGGAAGCCTAACACATGTTCATTGTAACTGAATCTGTCCAGAACATTCTCTGTCCCAGGGAGAGGGAGGTTAGTGGAGTACTTCTAGGTCACAGGCCTCTCAAAGATGCCTCAAAATATCTTCCTGCTTCAGTCTTTCCTCCACTGCCCTTGGATGAATCAAGTATATCTAAGTATCACTTACTATTAATGGTTAATCATTAGAGCACAGCATCTACTCTAGATATTTTTAAATATCTCAATTAATAGCTTTAAGATTTATTTTATGTTTTTAAAAGATTTTATTTATTTTTAGACAGAGGGGAAGGGAGGGAGAAAGAGAGGGAGACAAACATCTATGTGTGGTTGCCTCTCATGCACCCCAAACTGGGGACCTGGCCTGCAACCCAGGCATGTGCCCCGCCAGGGAATCGAACCAGCGATCCTTTGGTTCTCAGGCTGGTACTCAATCCACTGAGCCACCCGAGCCAGAGCAAGATTGATTTTAAACAACTAAGTTTTATTCATCTGAGTTTAACCTGTGATATTCTCACTGTACATGATCACCCCTGCCAATTAAAAGAACTACAGTCTTAAAAAAGCAAACTTACCCTTAATTCTGAGCTAATTATTGAGAAAGGGTTTTAAAACCCTTTCCCCATATGGGGGGAAATGGTTATGACCAGATGCTTGGTAACAGTGCAGCACAAGGAAAGAGCTGACCTCTAAGACCCAAGGGGTCAGAAGTGCAAACCGCTGACCGTTTCTTCAGTAGGCTTACAAATTCTCACAGAAATTACTGAGTTTATCTTTAAACTACTTTTCTAATTTTTAGCATTCCCAAACAGGAATATTTAAATCAATTACCTACTGATATTATAAGTGACAAATGAGTTGTGTAGAAACTTGTGTTTAAAAAAAAAAAATCATATACCATATACATCTTATAACAAAGTAAAATTCCATACTAGCTTTCCCAAACCTTCTGGCTTATAACTTTTACACAGAACAAATAAATGCCATGTTGAATAATGTTACACAAGGAAGAGCCAGCAGCTGCAGGAGACAGAGACAAGCGAGAGATTATCTCTGAAACAACTTAATGGACTGAGTCCCGGGCAGAAATTAGAACCAGACTCTGAAACAGATGGTCAACCGTGGAACCTTGGAACTTTATTTCTTGGCTGAATGAATGAAAAGGGGAGAAGGAGACGCACAATAACGGCAACCTGGCAATAATTTTAAATATCACTTAAGTCCTAAATAGAACAACGCAGACCATGGGGACGCCTCTGTGCTCCCAGGAGACCTAAGGGCTGCCCCAATGCCACCCCATGACTATGACTATGGCTTTGAATAAATCAAGTTACAAACTGAACCTAATTCCTCATGTATATGATGAGTGGGTTGGAGATCATGTTTAATTTTCCTTGTAGCTATCTAACTCGAACAAAGTAAACACAAATTTACTCTCTTCTAATGTAAACTAAATACAGTACCTGTCATCCAAGCCAAATCACAGTGAGCATTCCCATCAGTTCCAGGAACACACGATCAGAAAGTCGTACCCAGGAAGCCAAAGACCGCCCTAATACTGCAAGCCACAGAAAGAACACGACCTCCTAAAACACTCCCCTTGGGGTACAAAGGAGTACAAAGCTTTGGGTACATTCTACCATTGCACTCTAGTTTAGCAGGCACCGCCTGTCTAATACACATTTCACTTGGTTTTAGGCTTAACAAGTTTTTGGTAAACCTAGCCCTCAAAAATATTACTCTGTCACTGTTAATGCTACAGAGCAATTTTCAATAAGATTAAAAAATTACAAGAACTTTATCCAACAGCCAACTCAGTAGAACTACATGTCAAACAAGCCCAGTGCAAACTGTCTCGTGACCACGACAATCAGCATCCTCCACGCGTGCTATCTCCTCCAACTCTCGGGCAAGGGAGGGAAAAGGAGGAGGGAACCAGACAGGAATAAAACCTGCCAAAATGAACAAAGGCTGCTATGGAAACAAAGTTAATGCAAAAAGAATCAACCTCAACAAAAAGGGAGAAAATAAAGAGGGGGGACACAAAAGTGCTTCTTTAAAAAAGGCCAACACAAACACCACACTGTCATTTAACGTACACCTTCAAGTAAAACCCAGCTGAGAAGAGGGTAATTATTGAACCATAAAAAAGGCAAAAAAGAAAAAAAAACCTACTACTACTTCAGCTACGTAAGTGATCAAAGAGAATCTGAAGTTTGCCTTTTCAACATGCAGGGTATACCTGTAGGTTTATTTTGAAGGCATAATGCTCTGACTTAAGATACCATGTTTTTGAGAATAAGTCTATCTTTAACATAAGTCCGCAACTGAAACCTTCACCTGCCCAGCACCGCACACAGGTGAGACACAAGGTTAACCGCCCCACACCCTGACCTGCGCACCCCACCTGCGCTCTCCTTTACTGTCTGGAAAAACGCTCACACCCCTGACACAAGGAGCACTGCATAGCTAAGAGCACCCTCTCCAGCCCTATTTTGCTTAATACTACTTTTCCATTTTTAATTATTTTATTTGACTACTGCATGAGTTAATACAGAAAATGTTCTATCTTGGAACATGTACGAATTGAGAGCAATGATTACGTTACCCTTCAAGTTTTAAAAAGTCTCGGTTTATCTGCAGTTCGTCTCATTTATGAACACACTTGAGCACGTAGCGGTTATTCGGCGGGAGAAGGCTCCCCACTCACTCCAGGCAGCAGACCCCGCCTGGAATTAGGGGCTCCGTCCCAAGTTTCCGAAACTGCTAACGAGCAGGGCAGGGCCGTTCAGGACAGCAGTGACCATCCATCATTTTACCACAGTGTGAGCAGAACGCTTGCAGTACGTTCTTCCAAGTTAAAAAAAAAAGAAAAAAAAAACCGGGGGGGACCCCGCTCCTGGGGGCTGGAGACGCCAAAAGCGTCCGCGGAGCGGCCGAGAGCCGAGCCGCCCGCCCGGCGCGGAGGGGCGCAGGCGCACGCACCGCTGACAACGACGAGCCGCGGCGCTCGGGGGCTCCAATTCACGCCCCGGAGTAACTGTCCCGCTCCCGAGCGTGGCTCTAGCGCCAAAAGTCAGCAGCAGCCGCAACGGCGACAAGGTTTTCCTCCCGACCACAAACTTTTCGAGTGTCACGGAGCTCCGAGAGTGCAAAACCGTTCACTGCAATGGCACACACACAGTGTTCCCAGCCGCCCCGACTCCGAGGTTTCCCAGAGGAGAGCGCGCACCCAGTCGCCGCCCGGGACACCTCCCCAGTGCGGGGCTCGGGCCCCACTCGGTCGGTCCTCTGGCTCCTTTAACACCCGCGCCGAGAGGCGCGGCGAGCGCGCTTTATCCGCCCTCTGGCAGGGGACCGCGTGAAAATGTCACCGCACGGCGCGTTTTCTTCGCCCCGAGCACAGGCTGGGCGGCGCAGGCGAGGCGCGCGGGGGCCCGGCGGAGGGCGCGAGGCAGCCGCAGGCCCGCACGCCGCCCGGGCAGGGCTCCGCCGGGCCCGGCGCCCCGCGCTCCCCGCCCCTCGCCCGGAAGGGGGGAAACCCGCCAGCGCGAGGATTCAACAGGAGCGCCGCGCCGCCCGCCCGCCCGCCCGCCCGCCGCCGGGGAAACAGCCGAGGGCCGCGGGGCCGGGGCGCGGGGGGAGGGGCGGCCCGGCCGCCCGGCGCGGACCCCGGCCCGCGCGCAAGGTCACCGCCCGCCGCCCCCGCCGCCGCGGCCGGGGCCGAGGGCGGCAAGTTCAATTTGCCGAGGCTGCGGCGGAGCCCGCGGCGTGGAGGGCGCGCGCCGGCCGCGGGGCCTCCCCACCCCCACCGCTCAGCCCGGCCCACGCCCCCGGCCCGCGCCCCGCCGCCCTGGGCCCCGGCTGCCGCTAGGTAGCGGGCGGCGGCAGTCTCCCAAGCCGGGAGGCTCAGCTCGGCTGGGAGACGGGCGGCGCGGAGCTCGGCCAGACACCGCCGCGGTGGCGGGCGCTGGAAAATGGAACGCGGCGACCAGAAAAGAGAGACTTTTCCTTTCCGTTAACTGAATTGTTTCCTACCTCCGGGGGCCCGACTCCCTACTCCTCTCACTCCGCTGGTCTCCGGGATCCGCCGCCGCCGCCGCATCCAATCGCCTCCTCCCCCCCCTCCCCTTCCGCAGCCAGCCCGGCCGTTCCTCCTCCTCTTCGCTTCAAAATGGCGCCAAGCGCTCTTCGGCGGCTGCTCCAATCGAACCGCCGCGGACGGCACCCGGGGGCAGGCAGAGCGCGGCGTGGGGGCGCAGCGCCCCCTGCCGACCCGACAGCCCCAGCGCGCGCCGCTCTCCGCGCCGCCTCGCCCGTGCGCGCGCACGTGCGCGCGACTCCGCTCCGCTCCGCCCCGTCGCGCGCGCACGCAGCCACACGGCCAAGGCGCCGCCGCTGCGGCCCGGATCGCGGAGAGACCGGCCTCTGCAAATGCGTTCTGTACCTCTGCAGCTCGTCTGTTGAGAGCCACGTAAATTGTCATCCATCTCTCTAACTCTTTGGATAAAAGTTGGGCATGAAAAAAAGCCAAAACACGGAAATGGAGTACTGATGTTGTCCTAAGTAAATAAGATTGGTATTAACTACTTTGCTCCTAACTCCGACCTAATCATCTCTAAGGGCCATAAAATAGCTTTTGTACAGGCGTGTGTTAACGATTTGACTTCATCTCACAGCTCTCCCCTTTTGAAGAATTGCTTAGTTGGGGGGAAGGCAGTGCGGGGCACAGTTACACAGCCTGCAACAAAACATTCTATTCATTCGTTGTGTGGTCACAAATGCCCTTACTGTCGGGAGAAACAGTCCGAAGACCACGAGGATGTCCAGGGGGTGGGTTCCTAGACTTGCGGCTCCGCGCTCCTGCAGCGTCGGGGAGTTAGCAGTTGATGTGGCGACTGCTATGAGGACGGAGGGAGACAAAAAATCTAAGGCCTCACTGAGACGTAGTCCCTAACAAAAAATACTTTTTGTATGTTTTATACAACAGCAAATGGATTCACAAAAATTAGTCATGAAAACCTTCATTTAAAGCAACGCTGTTTAGGAAAACTGGAGTGTGCAATTGGTATTAAAACAAAAAATAAACTATGTTTAGGGCTTTTAAGATACCGGAGTGAGGGGGCCAGTGTGTATATGGGAAGTGTCTACCTTCCTCTCAATTTTGCTGTGAGCTTAAAACCATTCTAAAAAAAAAAAAATTAAGTCCAAAATGTAAGCCAGTTGAAATTCATCAGGAGCAATATAATTGGATGTGGTATAATTTTGTTAAAAAACATAAGTCATTCAAAAATCAGTTGTGAACGTTGTCTACCCTGATAAAGAGAAATTGTATGGGAATGATGTTTTAAAATGGCGATTTTATATAAACTTGGCTAGGAAAATTACCTTTGATGATAAGGGACCACAAATCCAGTCACCATCTGTACTAGTTTTTCTATTGCTGCTTTAACGAATAATCACAACATTTGTAGCTTGGAACAACATAAATTTGTCTTACAGCTCCATTGCTCAGAGGACTGGCACGGGTTTTTCCGAGCTAAAACCAAGACGTTGGCCCAGCTGCATTCCTTTCTGCAGGGCCTAGGGGAGAATTCATCTTCCGGACTTTTTGAACTTCTACCATTTGAAACAAAATACTGTGCATGTTAAGAAGTAAACGAAATGCTACAAGAATGTGGTCCTCTGGAAATATAGTGCTTAGTGTTTGTACTTATATTGATTGAAATATCCGAATAGCAAAAATATTGTAAGTCAGAATCACTTTCAAAATGCAGTGGTAATCAGATATGTATCAGTGTATAAAAGAGAAAAAAAAAGACAAAGAGAATTTCTGAAAGGCCATGTCTGATCAGAGCAAATATATCATTTTCCTTTTTTACATTACTATTTCACTTCCAAGAGCAGTGAGACGTTTATCATCCTTAGGAAAGCATGACAGATAGTCAGTAATGAGGAGACTGAATCCCACCTGGATACATAGGTTGTTACTTACTCTGTGTAGTTTGAAGTCCAGCCAAGCTGCACATACGCCCCCACCAGCCTGCAGTGGTCAGTGCTGAGATTGCCATCAGACTAATTCTTCAGGTTAAGGCATTGGACGTGCAGAACACACGTGGAAATGCGGTTGCGTTAGTTTAAAAAGAACCAGTTATTAGCCCATCAGTATTTATGAGCAGAGATGAAGCTAAGCAGACATTAACTCTGTGATACGTTAGGCATTAGGGCCCAGGGTGAAGGGTTGGGGCAGTCCTCTCCAGCCCCCGAAGTCACACCCTGTTCACAACGCTGCCTCGCTGAGAAAACACAGAGGCCCTCCCCAACCTTCACCCCTAACTCAGCTCCAGTGCCTAGAACCCCTCCTCCCAGGATCAGTGCCCTGCATTTCGCCCAGTGCCCATGCCGACACTCTCTTTAAAATGCAAACCAAAGTGTCGATTCCCAGTCAGGACACATACATGGGTTTCAGGCCATGACCCCCAGCAACCGCACATTGATGTTTCTCTCTCTATCTCCCTCCCTTCCCTCTCTAAAAATAAATAAATAAAATCTTTTTAAAAATGCAATTATTCCTGGAAGAAGTCTACTTTCCCCTATGGTGTGGAACAGTGGTTCCAGGCTGGAGTGGGGTGGAGGAACCCCCAAATCTGCAAGCTGCACGTGCCTGTCGGCCCACACTGCTTTTCTGGCTTTCCATTTGCAGAGGGGTTTTTTTGTTTGTTTTTTATTTTTTATTTTTTTTCTTTCTGTGGAGACAGATACTAGAGGCAGGGCTGAGATAGGCACAAGGATTTTCAGCGCGGGGGAAGAGCTAGGAGGCGGAAGGAGGCCACAAGGGAAAGTTAGGGAAAGGGGTTGGGACGTGACCTTGGCCTTATAATGCTGCTTCGTGCTAGGGCTAGAAAACATCCGTCAAAGCAGTTTCCTTCTGAATTTCTTTCTGCTTTAAACATTGTCTTACAGGTCTCGTCTCAACATAATGATAGATCTTTTTTAAGAGTTCTAAAATTAGAGGACTGGGAGATATTTATACAAAATTTCATACCTCTCACTACAAAAGAGAGGTTTTTGTAGTCTAAAAAGGAGAGATGTGTGTTTAGCAAAGCATTTATCATTTATTCAACTTCAGGAAATAATAAACAGCTATGAAACCAAGAGCAATGTCACTTGAAAAATAATGAGAATGACATAGGAGTTTAGACTGCAGCTCTGAATATTTGTGCAAAGGCACATGAAATTCTAAAACACATTTCATGCATACCCACAATTACTAACTGGTGTTTTTATTTTGCACAATCAACAAAATCAGTGTGCCAGTCTAAGCCAAAACACCAAACTGAGTTTTCAATGTTATGTTTCTGTTCTAGGCAAACAGCCTGTTTTTGTACCATGTTTCATCCCAGATAAATTAACTTGATTTCTTTTTTTAAGATTCCATTTATTTTTAGAGAGGGAAAGGAGGGAGAAAGAGAGAGAGAGAGAGAGAAACATCAATGTATGGTTGCTGGGGGCCGTGGCCTGTAACCCAGGCATGTGCCCTGACTGGGAATCGAACCTGCGATGCTTTGGTTCTCAGCCCGCGCTCAATCCACTGAGCTACGCCAACCAGAGCTTTGATTTCTGATACTTATTGTTCATAGAATGCAAGAAGCATCTTTTGTTTAAGTACAGGAATTCATTTCCTTCTCCTGGCTACAGTAAAAACTAATACGGTAATATTGGAAAATAAACTTTTGTCAGCAGCCAGCAGATGGAGCTGTTGAAAATATTAATGTTACTTTAAATAAATATATATGTATATAATATATATAGTTTGATAAAATAAACCACCTTAGGTATATTCTTTTTTGATGTGTTAATAAATAATGTGTTTATTGTAGACAAATCTGGAAAGGCAGTTAAGTTTGAAAAAGAAAAAAATCAATCATAATCATGCCACCAGAGAAAATTACTTTTAATGTTTTCTTACATATCAGGTCAGAATCTATTCCACTTAAACATGGAATTTACATTACAAATGTAAGTTTATATGTTTTATAAGTTTAGTATGTATTAAGAATATATTTATATTTTTCTATAATGCAACTTTTCTCCTTAAATATATATATATATATATATATATGGTGGATTTGATCTTATAGAAATCTCCAGAGGTAACATTAAATATTTGCGGCTGTACAGAACAGGCCAAGACCAACAGAACGGATAAAACTGTAGCTTGAGCGGGGCGCTGTAGCTCCCCCAGACCCCAGACTTTCACCCTCGATTGCTGGGTGGTGGACAGCATCTGGAGGGCGATGGGGGAGGGGCTGGAGTGCCCAAAAGGGAAAGGAGAGCACTCGGGTGCCAGGGAAGTGACTGTGTACAAACTTACGGAAGTCCTTAATTATTTTAACAACGCACGTGGCCACGCCAGAGCACCGCCACTGAATGATCAGCTCTAACACATCCGGAAGGCTACAAAGGAAGGACACCCACACTTAGTGAGCGCTTGGGAGGAAATCTGGGTGGCTTGCCAACAAGGTGAAAGAGAAATTTCTCACCATGTTCCTTTTGGTACCATGATTATGTATTTAACATTAAAGTTATTTTAAATAAAATATCATGAATAACTTTTAGGTGAATAACATACACTTACATCATTATCCTCAGTGTCAATGTACTACTACTCCGTCGTATAGAATGCCATAATTTATTTAACAAACCCCTACTGTAGAACAGTTCAATAAGGGATCGTGACAAAATATGTTTAAATCCATGAGTTCTAATATATGTTTAAAATAAAGACCCTTAGTCACTGCTGGAGTTTGCTAATAAACCAACTCATTATTTTGAAATGACAAATAAAGGAAAGAATCCATCATTCATCCTGCCTGTTTAAAATACAAAGTGTACTACTGGATAATCAAATAGTTTTCTGTGAACAGAGGTAGCCCAGTTAATGGAAAAGAAATATTAGAATATCATCATGTTTCGGTACGAACATCGAACATAAATACCTGCTGTCATCGCACAGGGGACCAACCAAACCTCAGATTCTCCTGGTAGACAAACACAGCAGCACCAGGGCAGTATGATGGCCATAGAGGTCTAACCTGAATCTGATCAGCCCTCTAGATGCAAGTACCAGTTTACAAGATATATAAAGAAACATG